TTGTGTACAAACAACCGTAACAACTGGTGGACAGTATGGGAGAGACGATATGGTCGAGTGGTTGGGCACACGATTGCTATCCCACTCGACACGGGTTCAAATCTATGTGTTCTAGCCAGTAATGTATTCACACAACGTGTTTTTTACGAGTTGTCTTTTTACGAGTTGTCTTCGTTTACCCAAAAAAAGTGAAAAGATAAAATCGATAGCAAGATTTAAATGCAAACAAACAGACAAAGACTAAAAAGTAGAAAATAATAATCATTAAAAAAGTTTAAAAAAACCCACGTTTTCTGATTGAACTGAAAAGTAGAAAATAAATGCTATACATCACAATAATGCAAGCGATCACTCTACTATAAGCGATCAAAAACGTGGGGCGCCGTGATTTTCTTACAGTTTCTAATACTGTTGACTCTCTACAAGCTCCCTAATAAAAGTCAATAGTATTATCTAATCAATAGTAATATAACTTTTACTTCGGCGCCCCACGTTTTTCTGAAAAGGCGTGGAAAGGGTGTCTGTGTTTAAGGCACAGATACGATATTTGTTTTTAAAAAAATATTGACTTTCTGAATCATGATACATGAAAGAAAGCTCCAACGTTTAGTGAAATATTGAGTGTAATATTTGTGGAATAAACAAATTCAAATAAATAGTTTTGTTTGTTCTTACATTTTGTAGTGATCGAAAGCAGAAAAAAAAAACATTTTAAAAATAAATTATTTAATGTTTTTACTTCAAGACTTTGACTTTCAAACAAACAAAACATAAATACAATCGCATAATTAAGTTGTGTTTATTCATTTATTTTGCTGAACGAAACCGATACACCGAAATAATTCATTAAATAGTTTGAACCAACAGTTGTTGGTTAATTCGCTGTTTTAATCGACACAATGTGATCTTTGAGTGTAGGACTTTTAGATTATATTAATTTTAACAAAGTGAATTGCATTAAAATCATTAGCCATCATGTAGAGAATAGTGGCACAGGCAGCAATATCATCCAACACTTACTAAAACATATTTTCTCCACATTATAAAGGTAGTTGTACACAACCTATACCAAACATAACATTCCCCCGTGTAGCTACCCATGTCTAGGGAAGTTAAAAAAAAAGAAACTTGTAACAGTTAGCTCATCATCTGGTGAAACATACCTCACAATCACAGTCAGCTGGTCATTTTTAGGCCGTCAATTATTGAGTCGTTTTTGGGCCCCAAAGAAAGTTGGGAAACTAAAATAATGCCTGTTTAGCTGATACGTAAATCCTACAGTGTATATAGTGTTGTATTTAAAGTAAACGATTAAATAAATATGGTCAATCAGTTTAGAATTACCGTAGGTATGTACTTTTTATATCAATTTTTAAAATAAAAGTAAACGATTAAATAAGTTTAAATTAAAATTGTCAGTTTAGAATTGCCGTAGTTATGTACTTTTTAATATCAATTTGTTAACAAAACTAAACGATTTAAAAATTTAAAATTAAAATTGTCAGTTTATAATTGCCGTAGTTATGTACTTTTTAAAATCCATTTTTGAAACAAAACGAAATGTGCTCAACAGTTGCCTTTGCTTTAATTTAAACTATTCAAGGGAGAAAACATTAACAAACGTGCATAATCATCACTATCAAGTTCATGGAAAAAATCCACGTTTAATGTAAAAGGTACAAAACGCAGGGAATGTTAAAAAAAATTAATTTCGAAAATTGACGAATTATTAAGCAAATTTCTTTCTTTTTAAAATTATAATTGTCTATAGTTATATAATGTGAAACAGTAGCCTACTTGCACACAGTTTGCTTTAAAATATGAAACATACATTTTGATGCTACTCTATTAACATGTACTTGTTATACAAATTTCTTATTATAATAAATAAACCGAGAGTGATCTCCCCTAAACTTTCTCGAATATTCTTATATAAAATAACAGGGGATGGGAACTCGGGCTATAGACATGATTTTTAATCCATTTTAAATACTTAAAGTTTTAAAAATAGAATAAAATCTCGTAGACAAATTAATTGCACACCAAGTGAACGCGAATAAAAAAGCGCATAATAGTGCGCAATATTATTAGTACTTTTAAAATTTACATTAGTTTTTTGAGAAATCGGAAGTAGCGTAAATAAGTACTTCCGGTCAACGAAAAATTCTCAAAATTTGACAGAAGGTAGAGAATTAGATCTTTTACTAACATATCAAATTTCATCTATCTATCTGAAATAGTACTCAAGTTATAGGCTTTTGAAAAATTCAAAGTAGAAAAAGTACCAGTTCCGGTTATCCGAAATCGCTCAAAAGTTGAAACGGATCTACGATTTTGATAAAAAACTTGTATATGAAATTTCATCAACCTAGCTGTAACGGTACTCAAGTTATCGTGTTTACACACGGACACACACACACACACACACACAGACACACAGACATACGGACACGATTGCAAAATTATGTTTTTCCGTATCAGTGAGATGTAAAACGTCGAGATTTGCAAAAATCTCGATTTTTTTTTTTTTGCACGATTACAAGACTTTCTCTATACTACGTATATACGAGAAAGTAAAAATAAATAAATAAATAAAAAAAAAATATTTTTTTGCAGAAAGTATTTCCCGATACTAAATCTTGTCTAGCCGTACCCTGGTACCCAGGAATCAATGTGTAGTCTTTTATGCTTGCAATACTTTTTCTGTCCGAAGAATATACCAAGCAAGTACGCAATAAATGCCAGCAATAACATTTTCTGACAGGGGTTGAAATAACCTAAAACTCACTCATGCAATTGTGCAATATTTATTTGGACCAGCTAACATATTGTCATATCGTATTCTGTTAAGGTAAGCCACATACAATTATAAAGAAGTGTTATTCTGGTCTTTCACCCTAAACCACACTGACCCCATGGTACCCAACACGTGATTTTTTTCAAAGTACCAGAGCAGGGTTAGTTATTAATTAGGCTATCATTTGGTTCTGATTTCTCTATGAGAATAAATCGAAGTTTGTGGTGTCTAATGCATAAATCACCTGATATAAGCAACCAAACAATTCAACAAAACGGTGCCTTAAACATTCCTGCTTCATACCACTGTCAGCAACGAACTCTCTAGCGACCCAAAACACTTACAACTAACCTCCGTAACCAAGGACGCCAAAAGGTGTGCGTTGTGGTACCATCTGTATTCGTTTTCCTAACGCCAACTAGCATGTTTCATGTTAATAAAATGTATGTCGGTGTAGAGTAACATTACTTTTTTACATCGGTATTTAAAATACTGTTTAGCTAAAGCAAAATGTCGACACCAAACAGTTATGACGTAAGGGTGTGTACATTTTGATGTTAGCTCTGTAACATTGGCACTATCCAGATGGTCAGCATGATGTCTAGACATTGGCACCATTCAGATGGTCAACTTGATGTCCAGACATTGGCACCATTCAGATGGTCAGCTTGATGTCTAGACATTGGCACCATTCAGATGGTCAACTTGATGTCTAGACATTGGCACAATCTAGATGGTCAGCTTGATGTCTAGACATTGAGGAAATAAATGTTGGTCCCGCTAAAATATCACACTAGTTTAGATACATCAAATCAGCTGAGTCTCGAGTAACAACAGTGGCACGTGAAAGCTTTGGGTCGTTAGAGAGTTTGTTAATCACATTCTCCATCTGTTGTCACTTGTATCCCAATAGTCCAGTAATATGAAGTGGAATTAGCCGGCTTTTAGATAGCATTAGCTGCATATTTTAAAATCGTGTTCATGTGTCTTTCTCTTTTTGACATATTTGATTGAACCGTAGCCATCGCATGTATTATTAATAATTGGCATTTTAAGGTTTAGTTGATATGTTTATATAGAATGAGTCTATGTATTATAGTATTATTAGTATTGCTAGCCGGGCAATGGCTATGGTGGTAACCTAGCCGTCTATATCTATAAATCTAATATTCAAACCACTGGTAATCCGAAATCACATAGATCTAGATCTAGTCATGGGCTGGAGTAGATTAATAGATTATATAGTCTCTAGATATCTAGATTTAATAATTTGATAATAGATCTAGATCTTTGATGGTGGTAAAAAGAAAGGAGCTGCTTTAAAGGAAACTGAAGCAAAGAACCAAATGTAGACAACATATTATGTGTCAAGTGTAGACAACAGGTTATGTGTCGAGTGTAGACAACAGGTTATGTGTCGAGTGTAGACAACAGGTTATGTGTCGAGTGTAGACAACATGTTATGTAAATATATATATATATATATATATATATATATATATATATATATATATATATATATATATATATATATATATATATATATATATATATATATATATATATATATATATATATATATATATATATATATATTTTATATGTTTAATAATGTTCCTCTCTTGCTGCTTCCCATTCAAGCCAGTGTTTACAGCAAGAGTAGGTTGATATGAAACATATGATACATATTATACACGTTCTATATTATAGCTAATACAAAACGTTTACAAGAGAGCTTAAATAACAATATGCAATTTTTCCAAATAGCTTGTTAACTGCTTTCTTTGCTTATGAAACATGAATTACAATGTTCAAATTCAACTCTGTACAAAACGCTTTAACTTAAAATTGTATTGGGTTAATAATAACTTAAAGTTCCTTCGAAGCTTTCTGATGAGCGAAATTATTTAGGTGGCGGGTTGTGGTTTTTCGTGTGTGCCCTCATACCCTCTAATGGGAGGAGTAGACTGCAAGTGTAACAGGTATACATTGTTACGTCTGGATGATTTTGTGTATAATGCGTGTATATGTCTGGGTGCACAGCGAAGCCATCACAGACGTCACATATTAGGAAATCCACATGTTCTTCACGTTCGTGTATTTCCACTTCCCTAGATGATCTGCATAACTGGGTGTAAAACCTGCATTGTGTTTTGTCATAAATTAATTTTTAGATTTTTAGATTCATTGTTGTTTTCTTTGCCTCTGTGGGGCTTTCTTCCTTTTTCCTTTTTGAAACTGTAGTAGTGTCCATATCTAAATCCGGGCTGAGGTTGTTTGGGTTACTTGTTGTCTCTTTTGGAGGTGTAGTTGTTTCCCTTGTCGAAGGCTTCGTTGCATTCTTAGTTGTATTTGCTTGTTGGCTGCTCGGTGTTGGAGCTTGCTGGGCGGGTGGCGCTGGTTCTTGTGCTGAAGGTTGCTTTTTGGGCGTTGTCTCTGGGTCTTTTGCTGCGTCCTTGGTTGGAGAGTTGCTTGATGATGGAGCTTGAGCAGCAGGTGGTACTGTATTTTGTGCTGACAGTTAACTCTGTGGTGAAAGTTTGGCATTGGTTTGTCCAATGAAGAGTTGAGGAGCAGAATTGGCATGCTTGCCTTCTTCCAGAAATTGCTATAAGGATGTTCAGTGATTTATTTTTGTAATTTAATTGAATGTAGTATGGGATGGTTGTTGGGTTGTCGGTGTATTTAGTGAAGCTGCGGTTACTAGTTTAAATTCATTTCAATTTCATAAATGTGTTCAAACTAAATTGGTACTTGATAACTGACGGTATCATTTAATACAGTTGACAAAAAATTCAAATGTGTCCGTCCAAAAAATAATTTTTTCCTTACACTAAAAGGTGACCCAGCAAATTAAAACTAACCATTTCATTTGACATAAAGAAGAAAAGTATTTAAGACAATGCACCTTGAATCGGAGAGAAGAGTAATTTTTATACCGACCTAATCAGTTTTCTTTGATAAATGTATAACGTTTAGCCACTGTTTTGTAATTAATCTAGTCACCTATTTTTTAAGACATATACAAGAACAATAAAAATATCTGTTTACGTCTATCAATATGGTATTTAGCGTTTTTAAATGTAAGCGACTATCAGCCCCTATTTAGTATTTAAAAAGAAAATGTAATGATAGCAATATTTGTTAAAGTTATTTTTAAAGTTATTGCCCTTGAAATGTTTTTGGATTAAGACCTGTAGTATTTTGGAAACATTCATTTTTATTGCAATTTTAAAATTACAAGTCTCTAACCTAATTGCGTATCTACTTAATATAGATATAAATATTTTCACTGAATATAACACTGTATCAGATTCATCACGTTATTTATCCACGGCATGTCAACTTTTATTTCATAATTGAATTAAAATACTACATGTACCTGGCCAGAGGCGTGGAAAGTTATAGCAGCTTGCCATTTTCCTTAAATAATCTCATAGAAAATGTATAAACTATTACATTAATACAATTGTGTTTTAAAAACACGTTAAAATCATGTATATGTTTAATATATCGTATGCTCAAAATGTTGTAATGCGTTTCCAACGTGCCTTAATTGTGTCTTAAATGTGTTTTCCATGTGTCTTAAATGTGTTTTAATTGCTTTCAGTCTACAGCGGGACTAGCATATATCTGATACAAGAGTTTAAAAGGCAGTGTTAGTTTTATAATGTGTGTCTGTGTTGTATGCAGCCGGCATTGGCCACTCATGTATATATCGCCCATTTACCAATCACCCCGCACCTACAACGTATGTATCTATTGCACATCCATTTGTCGAGCGATTATAATCTGTATTATTGTGATGTGTATTGGCTGTTTATAATAGAGGAAGGCTTTTCATGGTAATGGCAGGTTTTACACGGTAGTGGCAGGCTTTACATGATTGTAGAACACCAAACCACAGAAGCAGACCATCTCATAGCCCTAACTATAATGATGAAAATCTTGGTGGTAAAATAACGGTAATTTTTGTGATGGTGGACGACGAGGAGAATGATGATGACACCAATTTGGTAAATCAGCTTTAACAATGTCGAGTTTAGATCGTCTACCTTCTCTATGTCTATACCTAACACACCTGATAGTTGAATCAGCTTTAACAAAGTCGAGTATAGGTCGTCCACCTTCTCTATGCCTATACCTAACACACCAGATAGTTGAATCAGCTTTAACAATGTCGAGTTTAGATCGACCACCTTCTCTATGCCTATACCTAACACACCAGATAGTTGAATCAACTTTTAACAATGTCGAGTTTAGATCGTCCACCTTCTCTATGTCTATACCTAAAACACCAGATAGTTGAATCAGCTTTAACAATGTCGAGTTTAGATCGTCCCCCTTCTCTATGCCTATACCTTACACACCAGAAAGTTCACCCTTGACACACAGCTCTTTGTATGTTGACCATTTTGAAATTTCTTGAGACATGAGCTCACGTTTTCATTTACCAGAATAGAAAAGACTTAATATGTAACATTCAGCTCCTTAAGGAATATGTTTATAAGCAGCATAAACAGTCAATAATATGTAAGCTTTTTTCAAAAAAACTTTATTTCGATAATGGTAGTTACTTAAAATTTGGAAACTTAAAAAAATGTAATACAATCGATGAATTTAAATTGCTTGAAGTAGTTAAAAGATACACATTAAAACACGACAATATGAATAAGAAAATAAATTACTATTGGTCCTATTTTCTGTCTAAATTGACTACTGTAGTGTAGGTTCCTGGTTCTACATTTATATTTAATAACCAAATACGCAGTTTTTCTATCCTACCAACACGAAGTTTTGTGTCAACAATTGTGGGTCAAGCCTAAGCTTTCCTGCCAGATGCGTATCCGGTAGTATTTTATAATCGACACGTACCAATATTCACCCCACCCTCACCCCCTTTTACACCCCTTAACTGATAACCTTGTTCAGCTTTCCCTTCGGCTATTGCTACCCTGAATGTTTGTTGTTTAAGCACTGAATGATAGCGACACAAGTCCATCGTCGTCAATAGCTGTAACTTAACGTAAAGGATTGTCATTTTAAAGGTTCTAACCCCCCCCCCCCCTCCTCCCTCTGCCATCTTTATCATTTTCAGTTTACTTATCTTTTTAAAAATTAAGTAGTTTTCAATTACCTTGTTTCATCCGCCATCAGTGAATTGAATTTCAAATGGTTTGAAGTAGTAAAAACATACACATTATAGAAACTCAATGCGAATAACAATCAATTCCTTTGTTTGTTTGTTTTTAATTAATTTCTAGACGCTTTCCGGTTGCACTACAATCATATTAGACAACAAAGGCCTACCCACCTAGCCCACCCCTCCCATTCGACACTCCTTAACTGATCTAACCTTGGCCAACTTTCCCTTGGCCTACTGCGTTCCAGATTATTATACATTACTTTAGCGCGAAAATAAAATTCATAACTAAATTCTACAGGCAATTCTCATCACAATGATATACATTGTTGTTCTAGAGGCTGCCAGACTTAAGTGTTTCATGTTTAAGCTCTAAATAATATCGACACAAGTCAATAGCTGTAGCTTAACGTAAAAATGGTAGTCATTTTTGGGGTCCATGGGGGGGGGGGGTATATCCATGTCTAGAGAAGTTTAAAAAAAAACCATGTAACAGGTAGCTCATCATCTGGTGAAACATACCTCACAATCACAGTCAGCTGATAAATTTTAGTCCGTTTTTACGGTTTTTTAATCACCCATGGTTTATTATTAATTTGTCAAACTGTGTATAAAAAGAAAATTTAAAAAAAAAACAAAATGAAAACATACAGTAACATTTATTCCTTATTCTCTTGTTTGGCTGGAAAGACAATTTTTTTGCTGTTTGTTATTTATCTGCTCTGCTTGTTGGCAGTCTATTGTTGAGTCATTTTGGGGCTTGTTTTTTTTTTTTATATCACTTTTTAATACAAATCTAAACTTGCATATCAGTTGCAATTTCTTTAACTTAAACTAAACAAGGGAGATAACATTAAGGAGATGCATAATAATTGCTATCTAATTCGTCATAATAAAGAATTAAAACGTCTTAGGAAAAATACGAGATATATATAAAAAACTGTTTGTTTTATTTTTAAAACCGTGAAGATTGTGAAGCTAATTTAAAATTTTAAAAAGTATATAATTATATATTTTGAAACAGTGATCTGTATGCATACATGTTTCTGAGAAATCCAAAACATGACATACAATGCTTATACATTAAAATTTTATAGTTTGTTAACTTTTTTTTTGGTAATAACCGATACATAATCATGTCTAGTCAAGCAAGGGTCTGACATAGACGTCTTCAAGATCGTGTGATATGCTGGTAGGTCAGGGGTCGACAACCCTTCGGACGGAAGAGCCAAAAGCTAAAATTTACCATATATCCCAGCTTTCAAAGAGCCAATAATACGTTTATTTAAATATTTTGATATTTGATATTATATAAATATATACATATATATATATATATATATATATATATATATATATATATATATATATATATTTATATATATTTATTTATTTATCTATTTATTTTATATATATAGGCCTATATATATATATATATATATATATATATATATACATTTAAATATTAAATAATATTTATTCAAATTAAAACATAAACATAGAATAATAAAATCAGTAATCAAATTATATAACTTTAATTATTGAATACTATTTAAAACAGTTTCACCTTGCGAGCCTTTTGAAAGTTTGTTTAAACCTGGCTCATAACCCATTTTCAATGTCAAGCACGCCTATAGATTTTTATTAGTTAGTTGGCTTGTATACTTGGTATTATATTAATGCAAGAAAACGTTGCGCGCATGAATATGTTGACCCGAAGATCTTCAGCACTCCAACGTCAGCCAACTTCTTCACCTCACTGTAGCATCCTGTAAGACTTTTCCATGCGTCACGTAATAGGGCCTCAACTCGCGGCATTTTTTTAGAGCTGTCCAGTTGTACAGTGAAACGTGCATGTTTTACTGGACCTTCAAATCATCTAACTTGCTATTGAGATCAGTAAGCTTAACGCTCCACAAATGTTTGGTTTTCAAATCTAGCAATTTAATTTGAAGCGAACCAGCATCAATTCCAAACAGCTCAAAGTTAATCTTATTTGTTTTTGTGTTGAGAGAATGTACACTGACTATGAAAGTCAGAGTACTTTCATTTCTTTTGATTTCCTCAAATCTCTCAGTGAACCCATTCTTCATTTTGTTTATAATAATGCTGAAGTGATTCATGTTAATAGTAGCGTTGATTTAATCATAATAATTTTTTTCAGATTTTTCAAAATAAAGTAATTAACCGCGCTCCGGGTTTTCAACAAAATGAAGTAATTTGTTTTTCGAAACAATTATATTCTTAAAGCAAGGCATAGGCTGGGTTTTCCATTCCATGCAGGTTTAGATTTAGCTCGTTTAGTTTCTTTTGATCTCCACCATGAAGTTGAATGTTTCAGTTTGGGATAGACAGGTTGCCGACCCCTGTGGTAGGTAAACCGTACAGTAGAGGTTCATTTAGTAAATGTTGTTGTTACATCTGTTACATCGTCACTATCAAGTCGGTCAGCTTGCTATCAGGGGCGGAACTACAGTGCCGCCAGACCCCGCAATGCGGGGGGGGGGGGGCGTTTAGGGGCCAACAGCCGACCAAAATCATTTTTTTTTTTACAGTTAAAAAAAATAATTTTCTTGCATTTTTGACTTGATGGTTGTTTTGTAAAAAGAATATCGTAGCTGCGGTTGGATTATCTTTATTCTATAGACACCAGCCCCAGTCCTCTTTCTCCTACAATCAAACACACGCTGTTGTCGGCAAAATTCTTTGAAAATAAATCCAACGCGTGAAAGATAGGCAAACGTTCAAACCACTTCCATGACTTATTTCCCTTTTTTAAATAGTCAAATATGTGTGCGCTTAAGCACCTTTTAATAGATTTGCACTAAACAAATTAAAAAGCAATTTTTTCTCTTAATTATAATTTTTTATTTTAAATGCATAATAAAGAATGACAAAGCATTAAAAGGAAATGTATTTAAAACTAATAGTATAAATACAAAAAAACATAAAAATAAACATAACGCGAGAAACCATTACACATACATAACTTTCATACTTAATATTATTTTTACCGACTAACAGACAGCAAGCATTATAGTCAATATTCATTAAAACAGAGATGTTCGATAGCACTCACAAAAATGACATATTGTTGAAACTTGTTTTAATTTTTTTTTTTAAAAGAGGTATTTCCAATTTTTTTTCTGAAATTCGAACAAGCCTGAAACGAGTATTCTATGTTTTTTTGTTTTTTTTTAATTAAGTAAACATATAATTCTATACAAAAATTACCTTACATTACATTGCTATCGGGTCTTGATCTACTTATATAATTATACTTTACTGTTGCTGACATCTGAAGATCAGCCAGTCTACATCTATTATTAGCTAATCCTAAATGCTGTTATAAGACTAATATATTCTGACAGACTGAAGTTAAATATAGGCCTCCACATAGCGTGTCATCCGAGTTATAGAAAGCCGAATATATATGTTGTAGTTGATGCGAACATAGTTTCATGGGGGAATATTTATACCAGTGTCCGATAATAGAATCCTATTTAAAAAGGGGTGTTAGGTTACTGATAGTTAACTAAATACACACATTGATCGCTTAATGTCAATGCTAACCCTGTCACTAACCCTAACCCTAACCCTAGTCCTGCCATACGAATAACCCTAATTTCTAACAATAACATAAGTCGAGATTATAATACTACTAACAACCCAAAACACCAATTATATTTTCGGACATCAGTATCTAAAATCATACGTTGCATGTAACCCTAACCCCAACCCTAGTCCTACCATACGAATAACCCTAATATCCATCTCAGCGTGTGATTGGATAATTATGTCACGTGGTTCGCCCAATCTGTCAAAACGATCTCACGGTCAGGGTAAGCAAAGAAAGCGCTTATGTCGGTAAATGAAATAAACGTGCATTCGCCGGTCAAAATGAATCTTGTTTTGCTGCTATTTATGGACATACTTACTTTTGAAACAAGCTGAAAACTGACTTACTAATTGTAAATCTATATTATTTATCCCAGTTACATAGCACATACAAGCTTTGCTAAAATCTATATATCCAAATATATACTCACATTTGTGCTTGTGATGTGTTTCTAAAAATAGATCAAATAACTGCACTGGACTATAAAAATAAACAGCTATGAGTAACACATGAAACATAGAAGACAGAAACACATCTGGTACAAAACAAATCCAGCACGGAATTAATCCAATACGTTTGACGCGATTAAGGAAGTTTCTTATCTTTTCACTTAAGTCGACAGCGCCACGTTTTTCTTCCATTTTGTGCTAATCCGCTAAATTCACACAATTCTGTAGAGGCTGAAAATTCCACAGCTCTACCATATGTTGTGGTGCGATAATGTTTATACATACTGTTTGTATATGTGTATGGGTATTGTCTTTCTTATGTGAGGCCTGAGAGTTTCTTCGTTGTGAAATATAGCACTAGTGACACTGTTCCAAGTTCAATAAAATAACGTTTTTATTTTTACACAATTTCAAATATCCAAAGTCTTAATTATATCGATATCTAGTATACTACACTTCTCATTCAATAAAACATATTACATTATTTCTTGACGATATTTTCACACTTCTATCAACTGAAACACCACAACTGTAATTTATCTCTGCTCAACTGCTTCTAACACTCGACTGACTTTCTACACACTTGACTGCCAACTGACGCTATCTCTGACCAACTGACCGTGACTGCTCATCTCTCTTTTGATTGGTCGACTATGTAATTTGTACTTACTCCTACCTACAGAGACTGCTTAAATCAGATAATATTCTAAACTATTCTACCTCTCTACTGTGTTTTACTTAATTGTGTCTAAATGTCTAAATTTACTTCATCACATAGCCTACCTTATTAC